AAACTTATACCTTTGATCATTTGATGATTCAAAGAATAATAAATGTTGAAAGTGTTAAAAATAGTATTTTAGAGACATAAAGTTAAATAAAAAATAGTAATATAATAATAAAAGTTAAAAATTAAAAAAAAAAAGTGAAAAAAAAATGCAAAAAATTCATGTCTCGTTCAGAGATTCGAACTCGGAACCCCATAATCGGACTGTCACGCGCTATCCATTAGACAATAGTACGACCTTATCCCAATTGAAAAATTAACTCTATTAAAGTTAAACAACAATTTTCAAAGTCGATTTTCTCGACTTAGGGGGGGCATTGGCAACAAATTCGAAATAAAGGTGATTAAATAGTCAATATAGAATAGATCTATATACATTTTATGAAAATCGGTGGGTACCACACCGTGACCTCCCCTTGTTAGTTTTAGTTATTAAAAGGATGGGTAATACACTGTAAGTGCACTTAGACATTATCGTCCATTGTACGAACTCCATGACAAATTGTATAGTAAAAATCGTTTCTTTGCCGAAGTGAAATGTACTTAGTAAAATATTGATTGGAGTCATAGTGTGGATATTATATTAGATATCTATTGATCACATCTACCTTTCGTCTAGGTATAAAATGAAAATAACTTTTGAAGTACTGGACCAAATTTTTTTATCCACTAATCATATTATTAATTAGATTATTTTCTATTTGATAAGCTAGTTTAAAATGTATTTTGCCATTTAAAAAATTTAATTTTCGATCCTATAAGAAATGAGGAATGGGCATAAAAATTATTTTATAATAGATAAATTAAGATACATATAGATAATTATCTAAATTATAATTTAAGTTGGATAACACATATATGTATCTATTAAAGAAACTAAAGTTGTAAAAATTTTAAGTAAGAACTTTTTGAAAACTATACTACTTAGGTTACTATTAACATCCGCGAAAATAAAAAATAACATTGTATTTTATTTTTTAAGATATTGTTTTAATCAGAGTTATAAAATCGCCATTAATGTAGCAATAAAAGCCAAAGAAAATACTTCCGACATTATCATTATTATGTAAGTAATTAAGTGGGTTTTTAATTTGAGTGGTAATTATTCATGGGAACTTCAACGAGCACATAACAGTTTGACAAAACTCCAGAGGTTTATGGATGCTAAATGTAATTTTTTACTTTTAAACCGAAGATCTTCATGAACGTAATTAGATAAAAATTGAAATTTGATTCATTTTATACCGAGTTATCATGTTTTCAAAAATATAGTTAATTAAGCAGCACTCTGTACTACCCCTAATATAAAGGAAAAAAAAATTTTGGAGTATTCACTTTTTAATATGTAAAACATTATAAAGTATAAAGAGCTAGGTAGTATTTAATCAAGTTTACACATCTCATTAGTGACTACTCAAAGTTTGATTTTGTCCACTCACCATTTAATAGTATAAATTTTAATAATGGTTACCATTTAACTTTTGAAAGTTACCGATAAAAACTATTTTTATAAATAGTATTTTTCTCCGATAAACGTGGTTCCTAAAAATAATTTAATTTATATAAAAAAATAAATTTTTACGATAAAATAGGGGTAGTATTTTTAATAAATTATATCGTATGTTATTTGTACAAATAATATTTAAACAAGAAATAAATTTAAAAAAAAAAATAGTAAAAGTTTTATTTTTAAATAATTTTTAATGACGCGAAGTCGATTCAGTGATACCAAAGGAGTTGGACTTTTAAGGAAATGTTTGTTTACGTGAATGAGCTCTAAACTATTAATTTGATTATTGTATTATAAGATCATGTACCATTATTATATTTGACTACAGGAAATAGTAGTAGTGTTAATTATGAGATATTATGTATAATACTATAATATTTGTTAAAATTGAATTAAAAATAATAGTTATTAAATTTTCTTTGTCTATTATTTGCTCATGAATCATTTTTTACGTAAATGTTATATTTCTTACTAACTTTAATAAAACAAAATTGTAAGTTTAACTTAAAATACAGGTTATACTTAATTGTTATATAAAATTATGTAATAATTCCAGTATCGCTCAAGTTATAACACAAGATAACTTTATTTTACTTAAAACATGAGAGAATTTATTAATTACGTTTCGAATCAATATAAAATTACTTATTTTGACTGTCTTGTTTATTTTGATTGAGACTGTGTTGTTAGTAGCTTTTCGATAAGTAAATAGATTATGAGTAGTGACGTAATGAACTATTTGAAAATAGAGCCTAAAACATCAATCATTTCAGTAAAATAACACTAATAACTTTTAATACCGTTTTAATAAAGAAAAAAATTAATTTGAGATTTGGTTTGCTGGTTTTGAATTAATAAAAAATTATTTCATTAATAAAATCATTTTTTTTTTTAATGAGTATCTTCATACTACATAATTACTATTGGAATATAAAAACACATTTTAAAATTTGAATATTAATTTTAAAAGTAAAATAATAAATGGAATTCATTAGGTTTCATTATTCAAAAATATATAAAAAAGTTTTTTCTAAAAATATTCATTATTAATATTTTAATTAATATGTGTGCACTTCATAAATAAATTTTAGTTTTGTAATTATTTTATTAAGTATGAAGCCCCACAGGATCTATAAAAGTAATCACAATTTTTTTATATTTGTCATTTGTAAAAATTTCTTAGTGTACTAAATGTTTTTATTGGAGTTTAAATTATTCTATGTGTTATTGTATTTTGTAAGTATAATAGATTCTTGTATTATATACCCTCTATTCGCAATTCTACCTTGTTAGAACTTGTTATATGTTTACTGGAAGAACTCATTAAAAGTTACAATCTAGAATTATACAGAATTTTAGTGTTAATAGTTTAGAAGCAGTTCTGATGCTCTAATTATAATTTTGAAAGCAAATATTTCGCTATATCGAGTTTGAAGGATGCAAAAGATTTTTTTTTTGTGTATTTATGCATACCTTTTTGTAAAATATTTATTGTGGTAAAGAGGTTAAAAACCTAAAATCTCCATATAACTTATTGAACTTAGATTTAGATTCACGGAAAGTAGGTACCTGCTATCCTTTGTATAATGCATAATTTATTAAGTTTTATCAATTACTTATACAAGTGTTGGCGGGACTAGATATTGTGGGACCTAAAGCAAAAACATTTTTATGGGTTATTTATTTTTATTTAGAAGATCTTTTTGCATTTCATTTACGCAAAACTGTTTTAAGTGGTGGCTTTATCCTCCGCTGGCTTTGAACTATAAAGCTAATATTCTTCATAATTGTATTTAAAAATATTTATCATTCCATATTTTAATCAAGTTGTTATCACTAATAGATTTAATTTAAAATAATTGAAAAAACATCTATTTCGACACATGAAAATTTAGCTTCATGAATCCTTTTTATATTTGATAATTTAATTTTTTCTTCAAAGAAAAATGTTCAATGAAATGACTTTTAACAGACTTTAAATCACTGGCGTAAATATGTGTCATGACAAAAATAATATGTCGAAAATAAATTTTTTTTCGATTGGAGGGTAACTGAAAATTCTTTCTGTATATATCCCCAACATGAAATCCTAATTACGACATTGCTTATGCAATATAATGCACTGTACGTAAAGGGATAATGTTGAATCAACAAATTCGCATCGATAAGTAAAGACGTATTTTATGAACGCAAAATGTAGGCGTAACAGCTGCTTTCCTATAAAAAGGTCTACCCCTAGATTTCTGGGTAGATGTTTACGTGTAAAAGGGTAATAGATTATAACAACTAAGTAGGTCATTAGTTCAATAAAGTGATGAAAAAACATTAATAATCTTATAGTCTATTTCGTGATATCGAGTTTTAGTTAGCTACCTTAAATCATTTACATGGACAAAAATAAAATATCAAGTGAAAGGCGAACAAAAATTAAAATTAATTATTGTGAATATTTTTAACTGAAAATTGTTTCATGTTATGGCTATAATGCAGCATTTATTAAAATTGTATATTATAATCAAACATAAGAGAAAAATTAATTGTAAGTTAACAGTAACTTAGATCATTGTAAAAAAATTACATTTCGCTGAGATAAATCATCTACTTTCAAAATCTTAAGATAATAAGAAGATATCAGAAAACTTTGAAATAGGCTATAATTTAGCTGATGTAGAATTTTTAAACATTTATCAAAATAACTGTAAAGAATAATTTTAATTATATAAACGCAAATTCTTAATTGTATTTTTTAATCTTTTATTTTTCTTTAAACTTATCTTTTTATTTCTAGTAACCATTGGTGTCGGAACCATCTAAATTTTAAAATAATGATAATTATAACAATAAAAAAACCATTAAATGATTCAAATTCTAATTCGTTAAATTTTTCTTATAAAATAACTAATTTTTTTTATGTAGAAAATGATTATTTTTTTTATATTTTTAGTAATAAAAAATATGAAAACATAAAGAAATTATACTTATTTTATACCAATATTTTGGTTAACTGCTGATTTACTTATATAGAATCTGTATAAAAAAAAAATGTCATCATATTATAGATAATCAGCTATATATTTTTGAATATGTACCATTTAATAGCAAAATTTAAAGAAACTTTTTTTATATTTGTATTACTTGTCTATAGTGCTTAACAAGTTAGTTAATAAATTATTCTGTGTATCTTTGGTCTCTAATAAAATAATAAAGCAAATTGAGTAAGTTATTAAGGGTCTAATTACTATTTAAGCCGTTTAATTTGAAAAATATGTTGATGACTTATACTTCATAAAGAATCATAAAGGTTTATTATAAAGTGTTTATTTTAGTTACACTATTTCAATATTAATGCCAGTGTGAGATTCAAAGAGGGCTGTAAGAGCAATGGACCTTCCTCATAATTAATTTTCTGAAAAAATATTTCTTAAAAAAAAAATAGATCTTATTTTAACAAAAACAGCGAAANAAAAAAAAAAAACACATCATAGTAAAATTAATACCTTCTCCGCTTCGCATCGAAGCTAAAAATTCTGTATACGCTAATATCTGATCGCATAAATGTTATTACCTTTTATTATTATTGCTGCTTATTTTACAAAATATCACAATTAGGACTTTACCAACATATTTGATTTGTTTTGTCTTTAAAAACTTTAAGAACATAATTTAATACAAAACACTGTAGTCAAATTCTGAAAATATATTCTAAAAGAGTTAAATTGTATATTATTGTTTCCCTTTAAGTAATTTTTATATCAAAACATATATACAGGGTGTTCAGTAAGTTAGGAAACAGTTAAATTGTTACAAACAATGAGTACAATAGAAATTCGTTTCCTTATTTACTGAACACCCTCTATATATATATATATTTTTTTTTTTTTTGAATTTTCAGAATGTTTACAGCCCAAATCTCACTTCAGACTCAGACTACGATTATCATAGAAGATTTATTTTATAACAATAATTATGAGAATAAGATTGATAATATAAAAGTAAACATACATTGTGATTTGGCGATTTCATTGAAAAATTACTGTTGGACGTGCACACGTAAAAATAACAATGTGATCAACGTTGGTTTTCGCCTAATTTTTTCTACTTGCAAAAATGTTGTGACCAGCATTTTTAATTACATTGACTAGATTATGACTAAATTTCTATATAGTCATTATTTAAGTGATTCCATTTGTTTTTAATTATAACATGTTAATTGCTTATAATTGATTGATGCTTATTAACATTTTTTAAACCAACTTTGTAAAATCACATATTGTGCTTAATTTACTCTTGCAAACATAAAAATTTCTATGCTCAGATTAAAATTTTATTTATTAATTATTTACAATTGATTTGTTAGTATTTACATAATGGGGGCAAAAAAACCTGTTTTAAATATATATAATTTTTTTTTATTATACCATTTAAACGAATACATTATCCATCTGATTATTTTATAACAATCAGGTCACGATTAAGAGCCAATTTAAAATAAAAGGGTTATCCATTCAAAACTTTTTTGAAAATAATTCCATTCCAAACTTAAAACTTTGAATCACTTTTATTTTTTTGTCTCAAAAACTTTAAACTGGAATAACTATTTACAAATTTAATTGGAAAAGGGTGTTTATATTACTACAAACTCAAATTTTTTACTTAAATATTTTTATCTCCTGAGTTTTAATCAAAAAAAACTTTGCATTCCGTTAAACAATTCAATGTACAGCGAGTCAAATAAATATTCGAACATCGTCTAGAAAAAATAATTTGCATAAATAAAGGCGAAAAGAAAATAATTAAATAGGCTAATTTTTGTATAGTCTATAAATTAAATCTTTGTGAACATATAAGTAACGAAAAATTCACAAAAAAAAAGAAATAACGAATCAACATTATAAATCAAACATAATCAGGGGCAATTATGTATTTATGTCAAATATTCGGACATTGTAAATAATATCGGTAAAACTGGTTTTTCCCATACTATGTGCAGTGTACAATAAGGATTCAACAAAACATTATTCGTATGGTCTATGAAATTATACCACGTTTCAATAAGGAAGGCGGATGGAGCCTCTTCATTAACTAGGGAAAACTGAAACACTTTCGTTAGTCAATAAACGATTTACTGTGCGAAGTATAAAAAAAATGTAAAAATAAGTGTGCCTATACCAACTTCTCAGTTAAATGTAAGAAATGATTTAGAGGTTTGTTTCGAAACTGTTTGCAAAGTCATTAAATCACATGGATGTAATTCGAANCCAACTTCTCAGTTAAATGTAAGAAATGATTTAGAGGTTTGTTTCGAAACTGTTTGCAAAGTCATTAAATCACATGGATGTAACTTTTATATACATATATATAGACTTTATATTAGTAAAACTAATCAGCGAAAACGCTTACAGTTTGCTGAATATTATATTTTACTCAAAAGAACCTTTTGAAACGTTGTCATCTCTATACAGATGATCCAAATTTAATATTTTTGATAGCGACGGAAAACGAAACTCGGTGAGAATACTGAATTTAACTGTCAAGCATGGAGGCGGTAACGTATGGGGCTGTTTTTTTGGCGAATGAAGTAAGTAGCTTAATCAATTGCAATATAAATGAAAAAAAAAATATATATATATAGGAATTTTTAAAGAAAACTACGTCAGAGCGCCGAAAAATTAGGAATTTCGAATTAAAGTTATATTGTATAAAGATAACGACCACAAGCATAAAGCTCAAATGTACGAATGGCTATTTCATAGCTGCCTAAAAGTTTTGAAAACACCACCTCAGTCCCCAAATCTCAACACCATTGAGAATCTGTGTGACTATTTAGATAAGAAAATTTGAAAGCCTTATTTTATACAAAACTTAATAAAGAAAGGCTAAAGGACGAGTGGATTAAAATCCCTTCAAAATTTATAAAAAACCTAGTTTCCTCAATGCTACTACGTTTAGCCAGCATAATTAATGCAAAGGTTTTCAACACCAAATATTAAATCACTTTTATTTAATGTTTATGTTTGGCTTTATTAATTTAACAAAACATTTTGTACTAATTTCGTTCTAATTGTTTATTTGTAAAGTTAATTCATTATTTTCTTTTTTTTTGTGTTTTATGTATTTGAGAAGATCTATTTTACACCTCATGTAAAAATTTACCTTTTAACATTTTTTATTTTCGGCTTCATTCATGCAAAATATTTTTTTTTTTAAGGACGTCCCAATATCTATTTTTGACTCACTATAAATCAAAATTAAATGATTAGGTATCATAATCAGTTATTCGAAGAATAAATTTGAGTAAAATCTAATGTATATAAAGAGATTACTACGCATATTTTGACTTTCATTTGACCGACCGTTCTAACTTACTTTGTAAAACTAATAATTTCATATTGTTAATAACAGTGGTATGGTATGTAATGCTGATGTTTCAGAAGAAAAAATCCTAATAATAACGTCACGCTTAGATTCTTATTATCGTTATAATGCCTTTGTGAATGTACGATGGTATATTAAAAAAGGGTTCAGGGCTTGCGCGGTTTTAAATCAAAGTGATATAGTGCCCACGAGTACGCGTTAGGGCGCCAGTTCAGTTCCGACATTCGAATAGACATAAAGTTGCGTATCAACTATCTACAGTATATAAGAAATTAATCGTCGATACTAAATGTAAACACTTTACTCTTTTATACCACATTTAGTTATTATGAAAAACAAATACAAATACTACAAATGTATAAAATTCTTTAAAAAAAAATTTGATAATTGAAAAAGTAAGTAATTTTCAAGTTGAAGTAAAATTTATAAGTATTTTATTATTGAATCATACATTTAAAAAACATTGTTCGTGAACAATTTTTATACATAATTACGTCGTGTTATAATATGTATATAATAATACAACTTTGTATATGAAAAAACATAGTAAAGTATAGAATTTGTTTGAGGTTGATTTTAACTATTTATAAAACACTTAAAAACTAGAATAATTCAAGCAATTTATAAATTAAATGTACTGTACCGAAAAATTTAACAGGAGAGTAATATGGCGTGTGATTAAAATTGTACTAATCGTAATGGATTTTAATCAATTTTTATTTGATTACAAATTTAATTTTAATTTTTTATGGCTATTCTGACAACTTGTCCAAATTAAAATGTTTTATTGAGACAGAATATTCTGTATCTTAGCAAATAATCATACTATATTTTAACTATTAGTCACGCAATATCTTTAAAAAAGTAATAATTATTTCTTTTCAAAAACTTAGTGTCCTATTTTCTATAATTAAAAAAAGATTTCCTATCCTTCTCTTTCTCTCTTAAAATTTCATTAACTTAATTTTTTTAAATAAATATATATATATATATATTAAACATGCATGTATGTTTAACCAAGTTACAAACTAGAAAATGGCGTATCTAAAAGAATGACTGGTGGATAACATCATTTGTCTAGTATTTTAAAAGATATTTTATAACAAGGCGAGATGATAAGTGCGGTTTATTAATGCCAAGAGATAAATAAGCAAATCCACGCTTTACATACAGTTATTATTAAAGAGTTAAAAACTTTCAAATACTGTTCCAAAAGTTGTTATCCACCAGAAATTTTCTTAGATAGATCATTTTATAGTTTGTAAATTGGTTAAGGACATATTTTTTCATTTTTTTACATCATATTTAACATTTCAAAAACCAAAATTAATTAAATTTTAATGGGAGGAAGAAAAAGGGTAGGAAAATTTTTTTTTGAAAACCTTCATACTTATGATATTATTAATTTTTGAAGAGAAAAAATAACATTGTATTTTAATATTATTTTTATTAAATAAAAATATGATTAAAGTTATTAAACTTTTATCAAAATAATTTCTTTTTTTTATTACATTAAACAATTAAAAATACAAAATAAATTATTTCGATTTTTTTGTTTACTAAGAATAGTAAATCATAACTAAATGTTTTTTTGTGCCAGAATAATTATTTAAATAATATAGCTTATTATAATATAAAGTTTACAAAGTAGAACTTAAATCAAATTTGAATAGTTAAATATTGTTTTAAAAAATTCATAGTTTAATATATTTCTCAGATATTTGGCATATAAATTAAAATTCTATATTTCATTTCACTTATTTGTAAGATGGTTAGTACATTATATTTATAAATGAATGAAATGAAATAATATTATATAACAGTCGAATGACAAAAATTATCTTGATGTATTTAAACGGCAAAAAAATTATTGCCTCTCTTTATCTCAAAAAACTGTCCATTAAATTTTTATCTGCGGACATTCTAAAAGCATATTTAATCAAAACAATGAAAATGAGTGTTTCGCAAAGTTACGAGTTTAGAATATAATATAAATTGCATTTTTCTTTCGGGGCTGTGGTTTTTAATTTTTAATGTTATCGGTTAATATTTGTACAATGTTCATATAATGTTTATTTATATGGACTTTTAGATATTTTTTTTATTTGTTTTTGGTATAATATTTATTAAACATTTAACATATATTTATACAGTAAATTATATTCTATTAAATTTTGTATACTTAGAAATCACAGTTGGTATAGAAAAATAATAAAATTGTGTGGCTACTTTTCGTAAATTCAATTATTTTAAGAATCAGATTATAACTATTTTTTTTACAAATTATATTTTTATACAAATAAAAAAATAAAATATTATTATAATTTATTTTTTCCTGAGAAATTTATTATGAAAATATATTGTATGATGTGTTAAGATTTACGTTATAGCCCAGTGTAGTTGGTATTCCACCAAGAGTTATACAATCTAGAAATACTTGATAGTAACTTTAGTTATCCATTCTAAGTTTTCCATAAAAAATATTTTATAAATGAGGTCAATAATATTCATAATAAATTATGATTTGTATTCATTGAAATTTATAGTAACTAATTATTTATATTCCCATACAGCTAAATATCTAAAAGAATCTCTAATTGTTTATTCTTTTTAATGTTTACTTAATTTTCAAAAAACAATTCCATAATAATACAAGTCAATATTATTCGCCAAGTTAAAATATAGTCGATAAAATAAATGTCAATCACTGCAATGAAAATATTTATCATTACTCGACTAAACACAAAATATAAAAACTTAACCCTATAGTGTCGAAGTATTTATGAAAGTTTATTTATTTATTTTGTTAAATTATATATTGATTTATATTTATTAAAAAGAAATCATAGTAAAAAGATCAGCTACTATCTTATATAAAATATTTAATAAAATATTAATATTTATTTTTGACATTAATATTTTACTAATCATATCTGTTATTTATTATTTATTTTTAAGATTAATATTTTTACATTTAATATCTCTTATAATTTACGAATGAAATCGTACACCGATGCTCTTAAAGACTTTCACACGACGTGTCCCAGTCGAGCTATACAAAGCGATNTAATTGTTTATTCTTTTTAATGTTTACTTAATTTTCAAAAAACAATTCCATAATAATACAAGTCAATATTATTCGCCAAGTTAAAATATAGTCGATAAAATAAATGTCAATCACTGCAATGAAAATATTTATCATTACTCGACTAAACACAAAATATAAAAACTTAACCCTATAGTGTCGAAGTATTTATGAAAGTTTATTTATTTATTTTGTTAAATTATATATTGATTTATATTTATTAAAAAGAAATCATAGTAAAAAGATCAGCTACTATCTTATATAAAATATTTAATAAAATATTAATATTTATTTTTGACATTAATATTTTACTAATCATATCTGTTATTTATTATTTATTTTTAAGATTAATATTTTTACATTTAATATCTCTTATAATTTACGAATGAAATCGTACACCGATGCTCTTAAAGACTTTCACACGACGTGTCCCAGTCGAGCTATACAAAGCGATTCATTAACGCTAGCCGCTCAATTTTCCTTAAAATAATAATTATGAATGAATGAAAATGATAGTTGTTTTTTTTTTATATATATTTTATGATTTATAAATTTGTATTTACTTTTTGACCTTAAAGGACTTCGACATTTTTTTTTTTTTTAATGACAACATACATATTCAATCAACTAGCTTATGAAATAAAAAATGATCTAATTAAGACAATGTTTGGTCAACAACAACTTTTAGACCAGTACTTCGGTAACTATTCACACCCAGAAAAAAGGTGCGACTAAGAAATGGTTAATGAAATATATTGTCATACCCGTGCGTCATCTCAAGTATATATTATAAGATAGTTATAACTTCCCAAATAACGGTTTAAGTTCTTATTGAATTAAAAAAGTAATTAATAACTGATAAATTAATAAATTTATAAAACTATATAAAAAAATGTTTTCTAAAAAAATTATTATTTATTTTAAAAGAAATTGGTGGCTAACTTAAGATGAATTTATTCTAATCATTTTGCTTAATTATTAATTAAAATCGTATGTAGTTGAAGACATTACCCTCAAAAATTGAAAAAATTTCCCTCGTTCTCCGTAAATGTGGAAATCTACAAAAAAATTACAAATTTAAAAATCAATAATTTTCTAAATATTTCAATTTTTTTTATTTAAAACTGCCATAACTTTTTCAAAAATTACCAAATCAATATAATTTTTTTTAGTATAGATGTGTGATGTCTTTACCTATCATTTGATATATTTTTTTAATAAATCTAACCTTTTACCTGTCCAAAGAGGGGGATTCAAAATACAAATTTTTCATAAAAAATTAACTTTTGAAAGTGTTCCGGAAATACTGACACTTTTATATATATTTTAAATTAAAGCTAATGTAATATACTTTATTAAGGAGAAAAACAATTTCAGACTTTAATTTGTCTTTACGGTGCAAATGGCTACCGTATGCTATTTTTGTATTAAAATTCTAGATTTATATTTTACACTATTAACTTTATAATGCTATAACTTTTTGAAAAATATTTGGATCAATACAATTTTTATGATAAATACTAATTATAAACCTCTTCCATTCGACATCCTTTTTTTTTAAGTAAAACCATTTCCCTTTATATATATTTATTCATATAATACACTTATAAATCATAAAACTTGTAATCAGGATATAATAAAATAGGAGATCATGTAGATTTTGGAATAATCCACCAATTTTTTAAAATTAATCACTATCTACCAGATTTGTATCGAAGCGTTTTTTATGATAGTGATTTTAATCACTGTCAGATATCATTATACTTGACCAAACTATGCCACGTCACCACTGTGCCGTCCCTGTGCTGAGCTTTTTTATGAGTATTCTGTGTGCATAATTAGCTTTTTCAACAATATCGTTTACAAATTTTTAAATGTAACATTTAGTATAATTATCAATTAGAAGTCTAAAGCAGTTTTTCTATTTTGTTTTCTAACAAAAAAATAAACATGATTTCATTATTTCAGTCTTCTGATATTATTTTAACTCAATACAATTCGAGTTACACACTAGATAAAAACTTTTCAATCCTTCAAATCCTTGCGTTTTAAACATATTTAAAATACAATATCAACATATTCATGAAAAAGTTTATAGTATAAACACAGTTCCATATAAGAATGTGGTTTTTATTTAAACTTATTTCGTGGCCTTTTTTTGAATACAGAGAATCATAAGTGCTTTCACATTTTAAATGTTTTAAGTTCGAACAAAAAAATCTTAAACACAGCCTCTGAACAAATTATTCTAAAGTATATACATACTCGAAATAACATAAAAATAAAGGTGTGTATTGTTATGTAAAATAG